GTGTAAACACAGCCCCAAAATGTCTCTCTTTGCCAAAAGGCTGATTTTTTTACTTCCATCTCTATTTCCTCTTTCATAATGTCAGAGGAATGGGTCCTGTTTTGTGGTTTATTTGTTTGGTGGGGGGGGGGGGTTGCTTTTTTAAGACTAGAGAACTAACACATCAGTATTAGTCCTCTAGACAGAATTGCAGTTTTCTGGACAAATAAAATTCACTCAAAAGTTTAGAAAACTCTTGCCCTGGTTCTCTTAAGATGTAAATATGGATTTTTTTCACCTTTTTTAAAATTATTCCCGGCTGTAGGAAAAAGGTTGGTAAAAATAATAAGTAAAAGGAAGTGTTTCGCTGGAGCAACTATGAGATAACTGCTGTTAGAAAAGTGTATTTTTACTGGACTCCCTTTGCAGCTCTTATACCCTGGCTGGTGTCACATGTGCCCAAGCAGCAGAAACATTTCTAAGTAAAAGAGCTGCCTTTGCCTACAGTAAAAGCATTGATGAAGGCAAAACGCCACCCTGATTCGAGGGTCTGGCATGAACTGTTACCAACAGACAGACAAGCATAAATCATTTCAATCTCACTTCCTGAAGCCTGTTAACAGCATGCCTATCAGAGGGGAGATCTGCACTCCTCACATACAAAAGGTAGCTTCTGCAGATCTCCCAGAGAAGGTCCCTGGTCCATGCTGCTGGGGACTAATGGGAAGAGAGCAGCATCATTATAGGGCTTATTAGCTCGAGTGCAGCATTGCATAGGTACAGTCTTCCTGCTCCTGGTCCCAGCTGGCCCATGCAAGCTGCCTGGGGCTCCTCTGCATCACTCTCCTCTCTGCATGGCTCTCTGGGTGGTAGACCTGCTGCTGGGAAGCCTGGCCCCAGGCATCCCTTGCAGATTTGCTTCAACTTCCACTTGTAATTTAATTGTGCTGGTAATTGCAAGTTGAATGGGAGATCTCTGGGGCTCTGCACACAAGCAGGAAAGAGAAATTCTTCCAGGGAGCCACAGAAGGGGGGATGGCTGGATGAGCAACGGCAAGGCACAGCGAGAGCCTGGAGAGAGACCCCATTCCCCCCGAGCGTGGGGTGGGCTGCCGGCTCCCATTACCAACACAGCTAACCACAGCAGTGGAGACACCAGGTTTCTCGAGCTGCAGCAGACAGGACTGTCCCACCTGCCCGTGACAGGCACTGGAGGTGCTACCGCCCGACAGCGGTGCTGGCAGGACAGAGCCCCACCTTGTCGTGGATGAGCCCGTGGTAGAGGATGCTGTGCATGTCTCTGCAGAGCCGTTCCAAGCCGCCATACTTGGACCAGACATTTGGGTTGCTGGTGGACACCAAACCCTCCACTGTAGTCTTCAGGTTGCCCAGCAGTTTCCAATGCTCCTGCCTGCAGAGGAACACAGCGAGTCACATTATATATACACCAGAGGAGCTTCACACCAGGACCATGGTACTGCACTCTCTCCAAGGAGACTCTGGACAGTCTGAAACCTTTGCTAATCCAGAAGCTAGCAAAGGTGAGCTAAAGTAAAGCACTTTACACCTCCCTGTGGTCTCCCATGCATGGCTTGTGGAAAAGAGGCCATAACATAACAATTCTTGTGGTGACTGGTAGCCCCCACCAGCACAGTCTCAGGAGACAGCAACAGCATGATGTCCACCACATCTAGCAAACACTGGCCACAGTGCACCTGCATTTAGAGAGAGCAGCACTCCCAGAGCAAGGCCCATCACATCAAGCCCAATGGCACCACTGGGATGCAGAGGTGCTCCACTCCAAGGCTGGCAACTCTTCATCTACATCTCCATCTATACAGCTGCCCTCTGGCCCCCAAGCTGCTGTAGGCACAAGCTGACTGGCTTGCAGAGATGTGCATCATGTTGCAGACAGAGATGAGCAAACTGCGGGTGTCCTCTAGAGCTTGCACAGCTCTTCTCATTGGTATCACCCCCTTCAGCTACCCTGTATACAGCAGGAAACCACCATAAAGCAGGAGTGATGGTGCAGAGGTAACATCATTTGCCTATGCAAAAGCAACTTTGGGGAAGGAAGCTTTGGATGACTGAGGTCCCGAACCAAGCTGCTTGACAGTGCTACCAGAGGAACAGCAGCTGTCAGAAACATATTCAGATACGAGACATTCTCTCAGAAGCAATAGGAATGTTGCAAGATATGTTTGGGGGTGTAAATGACAAAAAATAATGCCTCTGCAGGGTTTGTAACAAAAGCGCCCGAGGTGACAGCTTTCCAACCTTTCAACAGGCAAGAAACGAGCCTCAGTGTTTCAGATGTTAATTCCTCCCACAGCCAAAACCAAACTGGATTTCCAAAGCAAAAGGGAAAAAAAAGAAGGAAGGGAAAAAGGGAAAAAGGGAAAAAGGGAAAAAGGGAAAAAGGGAAAAAGGGAAAAGAGGCAGTATTTAAAACTGCTCCATTTTCATCCCTTGTGGATGCACACTTCTGCAGCACAGAAAACACTAAAAAGTAAAATAATCCTAGTATTTAAAACTAAGCTTTTCTTGCCAATATTCTCGAGACTTATTCACTACTGCCAAAATGGTTAAGTGAAGAAGCATATCATCAAATATGAGCTCTACTTCAAGCTCCCTTTGTGAGGTCTCCCCAGGAAAACCTCGCCACTTGCAGTGTCACTTAAGCTTAAACCATGCAGAAGCCAACTGAAGTGCTGGGGTTAAACCCCCAGCCCTGAATGAGGGTTGGCAGATGGATGATGTCCAAAACCAGGACCCTCCTGACTGGTTTTCACCCACGGTCTGGCCAGCCTTGGGTGGGAACTGATCAGGAGATCACCACCAGGTGCCCCCACCTTCCACATTAACTTGGAGGTGGGGCAAGAAGCCACAGCTTTAAGAACTGACTCTGTGGGCTGTGGGGTCTGCTTGTATAGTGTGTGTGCTGTGTGAGGGTTCTGGCTATGGGGAGGGCTCTCTGACTCTTCATGGCAAGTGGAGTTCCCAGGATGCCAGGGCCAGAACATGAAGCTGTCTCTGAGTCCCTGCTGTATAACTGGGCTCATGGCCCGGCTGCTACCATTGCCCATGGCTTGGCTCCTTCCCTGGCTTGCTCCCTTCTTCATGTCCACTGTGGTGGGTGAATGCATTGGCTTGTTCCTCCCTCTGGCTCTCTGGCACTTTGGGTCTCTGGTGTGTGATGTGGGAGTGGAGGGAGGAGTTTGGCTGCTGCTCTGACTGTTAATGATAATATCATTCTGTATTGGGCAAGTGGTCAGCAGGAGACTGACCCATCCCACTAGCAAAGCCTGTCACCCTGGCAGCACAGGAGCTCTAAATCAGAGCTGCAGTGCATATGGAAGCACACACAGGCTTGTGATGTACTTAGACTAGCATGCATGATCAGAGCTTTATCTCAGGGGAGACTGAAGAAAGCATGGACAGAAATCAAATGCAGCTTCCTGAAAGAGGTCTGACTTGAGGAGATGCATAAAACTGATCCAGATCTTCTAAATTTATGGGCTTTTCCCATCCCTGCCCTGCTGGATGCAGATGTTCTTTGACTGGGGACTGGAAATGTCTCAGCAGCTGCCCAGAGTGGTATCACTGGTCCCCTGTCAAAGAGCATCTGCAGCTGCTGAGCTCCAAACTTCACCAGCTCCTCCCCAAGATATTTCTAACACTAAGAGTTGGGAAATGCAAGTGAAAGCTCAGCCACGCCGTTTATCTTCCCAGTGACTGAGTCAGGGGAACTCCCTCCAGTGTTACTTCACGCTATAAAAGGCGTGAAGGAGGCTGGGGAAGGACACGCAGGGCCGTGTCTTTCCAAATGAACTGTCTCATTAAAGGAGTTGTGCATCTCCTGAGGTCAGAAACCAGGATCCGACACGCTGCAGTCACAGCTCCCTCCTAGCACGGGAAACTGAGGTTAAGCAATCCTTGGAACAAAATAACCTCAAAACATTAAAACACTGAACTCAGAAGTGCACAGAGAAGGAGCGGCACAATGAAAGCACCTTTGCAGAGGTGATGCAGGAGCTACCTAAAGTGAATTAAATCCCTGTAAGAAGGTAAGGATCCCATGGGACTTGTTGGCCCAAAGCAGTTCATGAGTTAGATGCACAACACCCTGCTGATACCCAAACCCCATCTGTTTCTGGGCTGGAACATGATGTGTGCTGAAAAGCAGACAGTGACACAAGGTTGAAGAAATGAAGACCCATACAGTTGGCTGTAGGTGGCAGGGAAACTGGGAGTGCAGCTAAGCCCATTTCAGCTTTGACCGGGCTCAGGGGTTAACCCTGGATTAGCAGCAGGGTTTGCTCCCTTATCGACAGAGCCTGAGCCTGGGCTGCCAGGAGGGATGGAGAAAGCCTGAGACTCAGCTGCCCTCAAGTTCCCCGTTTCAGCAGGTGTTTGAAGCAATATTAAGAAATCTGTGCTTGTTTTTTCCTCAGTAAAGCAAACGCTCCTTTGTTAGCACTAAAGAAAGCCTGATGCAGGGTAAGGCCATTTCATATCACATCATGAAAACACACGTACTTACAGGAAGGGCAAAGTGAGCTACACACCCCAGAGAGGTCACAGTACATGAGCAGAGCCTCCCCTGCAAGAACCACACGTGCCTCTGCTCTCCTGCTGTAGCAGAGCCTGGCTGCCCCAGATAGAAGGGCCAAGGATGTTTGTACAGGCCACTGCTGGTGGAACATTGATGAGACCTCAGTGGCATCCCTCTCTCTCCTTAAAGACTACCTCTAATCCAGTCTTCAAATTCAGCAATGGATCTTGCTCTACCACCACAAACGCTATCTTCAGGTACAGCAACATCAACCCATTGACAGGAACCATCCTAAATATAACTTAATCTTTTGCATCAGAGTGATAAAAGACAATCTGGCCTTGGAGCAAGAAATAGCTTAATGCTGCTGCTGCTGACAATGACAAGGAAATGCTGCTTGCTCTCCCAGGGCTTTCTCAGCCCCTCCATGCCAGCAGGGGTAGGAATTTCTCTACATCCCAGTCAGCAAAGGTGACTCAAAGCAGAAGCAGGGAGCCATGCTGCTGACTCAGGTGAACTTCTTCATTTGAAATAAAACCAAACCCCAGCCACTTTCCAAAACAGAATCACACATGTAGCTAGTATTAAAATAAAAATCAAAAAAAACCCAAAAAAACAAAGCTCATCTTCCTTGCAAAAACCTGCTGCATGCCTTTCTGTGGCTTGCAGGAGGCCTCTGGCAGTAGCTGCTTGAACCCTCTCCTCTACCTCGAGGAATCTCTCGATCCTCCTTACTATGCTAAAGAGGCTGGGCAGAGGGTGCCGAGGTCATGGGGGGACTTCCATCATATCTCCAAGGGCATTCC